TGTACGAACAGACAGTAATGTGATGTCTGAATTATCTTTATGATTTTTCAAAACTTCAATAGAGACAAATCAGAGCGTTGAAATGAATGATCATAATACGACTCATTGCGATCATAATAATGACAACGTTTACAAAAAATAATAATAATAATAATAATAATAATAACGGTGCGAATTAAAATATATAACAATAGTGATAATAGTGATGATAAAACGGCAATCACACGAACAATAATTAAAAAATGAATCATATAGAAAACGGTGAATAAAAAAATTCACTGATCCAATTTGCAGCCAACATAAGAAGACTCACTCGGGTCGGCAACAAACTCGCCAGAATGCAAATGATTGGAACAGCTCCTGTACCAAAACAACCAAAACAGATTTGAAACACTTTCCGATACACGAGTAAAAACAACAATTCATAGAACAGAAGACGAATGCCATAACAAGAAACGCTCAATCGCATAACTTCAAACTTTGCAATATCATATTCACATTCAAACTGAAATGTTCTCAACGACTGTAACGCTTCAAAACGAAGGTCTAACGGAATACTTCTCACTTCAATTCGATCAATTCATTGAAAATTGAGCACATTGACACATTTCAACACGTTCACGAAAACTTCCTACCAAAACAGTGCGACAGCATACAAATATACAAATGGAAAACATTTGAAAGTAACAGTGACATAATGATGAAAATAAACACAACGTGACCTTAGGTTAGAGTGAACACACAAAACACAAAATCCTCAACTTTCATTCACTAATTGGTTTTGTATTCTCTCATTTGACGTTCTTAAAACGCTGCGAGATCTCACGAAATATCCAATGAAAATATGCACCACTCAAGAATCTCGAATCAATCTCAGACATTCAAGGTTTGAACTATTCTTTTCGTTTGTGCATGAACTCATTCCTCAATCAACTCAATGATAAATCACAAGCTTCCCGTTAAAAAATTTAATGTATTTGCATATTATGTAAAATAAAACCAACAAAACATTGAAGTGAGTATCAGGTATGTTTCCAGGCTAGTGTGGTGCGTCGCCACCGTTCATTGCTGGACTGACAACTTCTACGGCAAATTGACGTGCTTGACGTCGAACCCTCTTCTCGTATTCAACGCTAAAATATTTTCATCAATCAAAAAACTTCAGATTCCAAAGTTCCAAACTGAAGAAAAAATATTCTGTCAAAAAATGAACCTCACGTAGAAAAGTGCTTACCGATTCTGACAGTATATCTGGTATGCGTCCGCTTGGGCAGGATCCTCAATGTTCGGACTGTCCAATAAATCTTGAATGCCTAAGAGCAGTTCGCGCACAGTTATTGATGGTCTCCAATCCTGGAACAACGGTTTTCAAAAGACTATAAGAAAAATTCTATTCAAAATCATAAACACTCTATATCCCTAATGCAAATCATTTCTTCAAACATACCTTATTTTCGTCCAACAACGACA